GGGGGGGGGGGGGAGGGCAAAAGGGGGTGGTTCCTAGAGGCTGTAATGTTTTTATTCTGTAATCGGTTTCTGGGCAGTTCTGCAAGTGAATCCTCCACTTTGTTAGCAGCTCTCTAGATTACTTTGCTATTTGCTGTGTGGTAGAGTCTTTGAACTTTAAACTGATGTAAGCATGTGGTGGTAGGAGGGAAGGGCATGAAATTATCTGAGTACACATTTCCTTCTTCCTGGATATGTTGGAAGGTGGATAATGATGAGTGGAAAGTTGAGCTTAAGATAATTATTAAATGCTGAAAAATCAACAGTTTCTTCAGAATCTTTTAGCATGTATTTTCAAGGATTATCTCCTACATATTTCCTGATGGTGGTGTTTTGCTTAAAACTTAAAAAAAAATAAATTTGCCAGTGTAGTTTTTATTACAGTTTGTTTACTTCAGCTTCAACCAAAAAGCCCTGAATAGTAATCTGCACAAGGCTTAATGCATATTTTAGCCTTAAGACCAACAAAACCCCAACGCTGATATTCTGCATTGTCCAGAGGTACTCAGACTTACTCATTCCTCTCTACTGAAGTAGGATTTTTGATCATGCTTAGTGTTCTTCCAGCTAGTCATGGCAGATTGTGTTGTTTAAACTCTCTGGAATTGACTAAGTGAATAATTCTTGGGATTTGTTTTGAAAGTCGGATTTTTCTAATGTCTTGTATTTAAAATGAGTACTGCATACTGAGATTTGTCAGTTTAATGACAAATTTTGTATTGACAGGTAATGAAGGTGGTAAATTCTTCTAATGAACATGTAATTAGTATTGGAGCAAGTTTTAATACTGAAGCAGATTCTCACTTAGTGTGCGTGCAGAATAAGCATGGCCTCTATCACACACAAGCAATCAGCGCTACTGGACATCCTAGGAAAGGTAAGCCATCTAATTTGGCTTGTGGAGAAAAATAACATTTCTAGCGCAGAAATGTAAGTTCACTTTTAGGCTGCAAGGAAAATAATGTATTCTCAGTAAGTTGCTTAGGCAAAAAGTTCAGCATTCAAGCAGCAAAGTAATTTAAATGCAAAATAAAATGTTGCTGGTTTATATCAACACTTAGCTACCTTTTACAAATGTTATATTAAATGGAGATTACTACTTTTTTGTCTTTGTTTCCAGAATGTTATTAATATAGCTTACATTTTCAGACATAATCAGATTCTTTACGTATTTCAAACTCTAAATGTAATATTAGTGTTAATTGGGCAATATATTTACAAATGTAAACAAATGATCTCAATAACTGAGTGTATGGAAATACAGTAACAATCAGTACCTCTATACAGCACCTAGCAAACTGATACAACCACCTGTACAGGGAAGAGTGCAGAGGTACCTTTTAGGTTCTGAAAGTCATACAGCTATGCAGCATGGCAGTGCATCTGGGCTGATGAGTCGTGCTTTTTAACCAGGCCCGGTAGTTGGGGAGGAATTCCAGATTGATAGGGCTGTACTCCTACCATCTCCAGTGTCAACCTGAAATGTTGTTCTGTGCTTCGTTAAGCATAGCTAGTGTGGTTTTGTTTCAAGCAATGTGTGTAACTAACAAATTTATGCAAAGGTTTGTAGCATGGAAATTCACTTATGTTCTCCTCTTCTTTCAATTGCTTTTAGTACCACTGAAAATTATCTACACTTCAGGAATATCTTCTGTAAATAAATTAAATTTAAAAGTTGAGTGGCATGTCTGTTTTAAAGGACAAAAAAACCCAAACAAACAAAAAAAAATGCACCACTGTTTCTTCAACTATGTCTCCTCTTTTTGTACAAAGGTTTTTTTAGCTTGCCTGTGTTAGGCTTGCTGCCAGTATCTTAAAAGGTTACTGTATGAACTCACAAAATAAGTTAACAAAGTTGGTCTGTTTTGCCAAGGTCTGATTGGAAAAAATTCTCCTCTCTTTACAGAGTTATGCTTCATATCATTCTGTCAGGAAGGGATTTCCATTAGCACAGCAGTATCTTTTTTTACCTGGCTTTTTAAAAAGGGGTGCAAGTTAAATGTTAGTAATGACAAACTTGAGTGGTATGAAGTGGTACTCACTTTGTTCCTACTTTTTCTAGTTACAGGTGCAAGCTTTGTGGTGTTTAATGGAGCCTTAAAAACATCTTCAGGATTTTTAGCTAAATCCAGTATAGTTGAAGGTAAGAATTTTGTCCTATGTGGTTTCTTCTTAAGAGAACTTTAAAAAAAAAAATAGCAGAAGTCTTGTGCAAGATCTTTATTCCTCAGTAAGCTAAACTCTTTCTTTTCAGGATTTTTAACTTTGTAGAAAACCTATTGCAAACAAATGCTGTATAAAAAATACATGCTGGTTCACCTACTTGTTTTAAAACGTACTAAGTTTTAACTCTTTTTGCTTTAGTCAGTGCAAGTCTTTCCTTTACGGCTGCCTATATCTGGAACTATTTTCATTGATGTATTGATGAAATACATATATTGACATGTAACTGCAAAAACCCTCTAAGATTGATCTTTTAGCCTTAGTTCTGTTGACAAGAAAGGTTTTCATTCTTTCATGTAACATTTAATGCTGTAGCTGGGGGATGGAGTCCATTGGATGTGCATTTATTAACGAGCTGTAGGAGAGGGTTGGTCCCACTAGAATTTAAGCGAAGATTCTACTAAAAAGCTGTGCTACTCTTTCTGTTGATAAGTTGGAATTTTAACTGTTTTTCTTCTAGATGGACTAATGGTACAAATAACGCCAGAAACGATGGAAAGCCTCCGTCAGGCGTTAAGAGACAAGAAGGACTTTAAAATAACTTGTGGCAAAACGGATACAGGAGACATAAAAGAATATGTAGATATTTGCTGGGTAGAAAATGAAGAAAAAACATACAAAGGGTAAATGTATTACCAAAGCAATTTCTTGAAATTAATCTAAGGTATTTTTATTGAAAGAAAGTACTTGATAGTAAAGCCTGAAAGGGGATAGAATGGTAAAGTCCTCTAGATGTCACTAACAGAACAATTTTGCTTGTAGTTCACCAAAATTCAATACCATTTTCTCTGTTCAGGGAGTTGACAGAAAAAGTCTGTGAACCCTCAGTTTCCTTTGAGAGTCCTCTAACAAATCAGTAATCAGTTTGTGTGGGGATGCAATTAATCCCCTTACGCTTCCTTGTTTGGGGGGGCTTAGAAGTGCATAGTACTGTCCTTGGCCATTCACTGCTTGGAATGCCAGCATTCAACAAAGCAAAATAAGATGTAAGACACTTTTATTGGATGTGATTTGAATGCTTGTTTATGTAGCTTCAAACTTTAATTATACATCAGTAACTCAAAATTTGTCTCATCTTAAGTTGTTTCTCAGGCCACAGGCTTGCGTTGGTATGCCTTTTTCTGTGGCTTCTCTGATTCTCTGACCAATTAGAACAAAGAGTGGCTTTACCTAAGATGGTTTATAGGTTCTTAAACTTGTAAGATTAGGTTTTTATTAAGTGTTGCTTGTTTCCTGTTTAGGATATTTCTTTTTGTAGGATCTGTATTTTCATGATGCAAGTGCTGTATCACATTTTGTTGTAAAGCTGTTTAAATAGCCTTTTAAGGATGGCTAAACATTATTTCATACAAGTTATTCAATATAAATCATAAAATGTTGTTTAAATTATTAACCATACTATTATCTTCTATAGAATTTTAAGCCCAGTGGATGGAAAATCAATGGAAGGAACTCAGAGTGAAAAAGTACCACAAGGCAGAGACTTTGAAAGAGAGGGAAAAGTTATGAAGTGTACCAAGGTTAGTTTCTTTAGTAATACCACTTAGTGTGATCACTCTACCACTTAACTATTCTAAAAAGTAGCAAAAAGGCTCAAGAACAATGTAATTTACTAACTTATTTGATGCATACTTGTACTGATAGGCGCAATGTTCTCTGTAGCCCTCTGATAAGTTTACATACTTTTCATTTTTCTCCTCTGAAAAAGACTAAAAGCCTGTTAGCATTGATAACTTTATAAATATGTAATCCAGATATTTCACTGCATTTTTCACTGGATATTTCACTTAAGTATTTTGATTGAATAAATGAAATACTAAAATACTTTGTCATCAAACAAGCATTATAGCTTGCTCTGTTCTGCATTATGTGTATACTGAATTACTCTTTTCCTTACTTTAACATAATCAGGCTGCTGACTGTCCTTATCCTTCCTATAATTTCAGGTATACTATTTCCTAAAGGACCATGAACTATCCAGTCCTGTTCCTCACCAGTTTGCTAAAGAGATTGCTATTGCCTGCAGTATTGCTCTTTGCCCACACCTTAAAACCTTGAAAAATAATGGGATGAATAAGATAGGCCTAAGAATTTCTATTGACTCAGATATGGTAATCTTTCAACTTTTATTGCAGACACTCCATTTCAACTCAAATCTCTTTTTTGTAAAGACGTTGGATCTTTTTCTAAGTGGTTTTAGTTTTTTGCCCTACCCAGATCCAGACTGAGGATGAAATTTCATGAAGAACTGTCTTAATGACTAGTTTTTCTTGAAAGGAGTAGTCCCATTTCCTTATTATGGCCAAATTCCTTAATAGCTCCTTGCAGTAAGCTATCAGTCCTTCCCTAGTTCAAACTCGCTCTGGCACCCATCTGCCACCAAGGTGAATCAGTTTGGAGAATCATGGAGCTAATTTTCCAATGCTTTTTTCGAATTATGTAGTTTTCTGCTGGTTTTGCTCCCTGATGTGGTTCAGTAAAGGAATACTTGCACCAAAAGTCTGTACAGCAGAAAAGGACAGGTCTGCCCAGCTCAGGGTGCAAGAGAGGGAAGGCAAGGCTATCTGGCGTGTGATGTCCCTCAGAAGATCATGAAACTATAGAACAGTTCAGTTCCTTGCCTCTGAAGGTGTTGTGTTACACTTCCATATCTTCTTTGAGAGAAGCTGGAATACAGTCCCGATAACCTAGTTTTCAGTAGTATGCTTTGAAATTAATCTAATGGTAACTGTGATGCTAGGATATAATCACATCACTCTTGAGCATCAGACTGAAGCAGTCTGGGACGCAGAGGATGTGTGGCCCTGCAAACCCAGGGGGAATGTTGCATGCTTCTCAATGGCAAGCCTAATCGTTCATGATTCACCTCAAAACCCATCCAGTTGCCAGTGTTTGAATGCTATTTTGTCACTTCATGCTAGCTGAAATACTCTTTTACCAAGATACTACACTTTTGTCTTGCCTTTTTAATATAAAAAGGGTTAATATAAACATTAATATGCTTTTCTTCTAGGTTGAGTACTTAGCTGGATCTGGAGGTCACCTTCTTCCACAGAACTATCTGAATGAATTGGACAGTGCTCTCATTCCTGTGATTCATGGTGGGATGTCAGATCCTACAAGTCTACCATTGAAAATGGAATTAATATTTTCCATTATAGAACATCTGTTTTGATGAGGCTGATTATGGGCAATATACTGATTTGCTAGATCTGAACACCAAAGTTATAATGCTACAGACACTAAAAATGTTAAAGTTTCTAAACCTGTTATGTTTTAATAGAGTTTTCAGACTGTTTTTTAAAACCCTCAAATCTTCTCCGGTTACTTTACCACAAAAGAATTGTAGTTTGTAATGTTTCCTAAAGTTCCGAAAGTTTACACTTAATACAGGTGCAGAAGAGGGCAGGTTTTGTTACCTCTTTACACAGTTGTAGCATTTACTATATGTAGTGTAACTTTAAGCCATACTATCTTCCCTCGTAACCTCAGATAAATGTTACTAAAAATTGCTATGGTGAGATCTGATCTCTCACTGAAGCATGTGCTTTCCATGTGCAAATGAGCTGAACACTGAAGTAGAAGCTGGCACAACACTTTTCTTGCCATTTGAGATTCAAATATGAGATCTTCTGTAGCTGACTGCAAACGTCATATGTCAATGCAAAATACAAGTGTGCACCTTCTGACACTTGTTTATGGCCAGCATGAGGAAGAATTTTGCACGTATGTTTATGAAGACTTTGTAGTTGAAGTCCTTAGTGTTAGGATGTTACGCTGGTGCTTCAGGAACATATGCTCCGAATTAATTTTTTTTTTGATAGAATAACTGATTTCTTTCTTGTATTTATAAGGATTTATCTTAAATGGATGCTATTTTTATAAACACTGCTATTTTTTTCTTTAGTCTGTGTTCAGAAGTCCTGATACAATTTGATCTTTCAAGGATTAATAAAAAATGTGATTACCCTTGTGTAATCTACATGTAGCAATAAGTCAGACAAGAATTCTGCAATATCTTTTCTGCTCCTCTCTAGTGCTTTTGCCACCTCTTAGTAGCCACCTTTACTTTCAGGGAGAACAGATGTATTAAGTGTGAATTTTCATGAACAGATTGATTTTTAGTATACCTGAGGTTCTTGTATAGTACGTATTTTTGATATTGGGTCATTAAGATCTATTTATGTATTTGTGATGCATGTGATTTGTACTGAGGTTCAGCGAACCGTAACTGGGGTTTGGTAACTGTCACACAACGGTTCATGAAGAACAGAACCAAAACTAAATATATACAAGATCTATATTGTTTTCAGTAAAAATGCTGGTACAATTTTATAATGAGACTATTAACTTTGATGCCTTCTTGATGCTAATAGGGGATATTTTATGTTTTTGTATCAAAAACAATTTGTAACTTAACTTCACTTGCTCTGCTGTTACCTATGCTTCAAAATACCGGTTCCAGGAGGGTTCAGGCTTCAAGATCTTACCCTGGAGGAAACTGAGGCTGCATTTAAGCTAATTACCATTACTTCTTCAGAGAAACTGCAGTTTTGGAGAAGAGCTGAAGACCACAGTATGAGCAAAACATGTCCTTGCTTGCAAACAAGCTGCAACTGGACAGTGGGGGAAGCAACAGTGAAAGGTTGAACAGTAGTGAACGACTGTGCCAGGGTCGGAGGGTGGCTGTTGCCACCGGTACCTCGTACTGCCTGGGCGAACCAGCTGTGCCCACGTCTGGTTGTAGGGGTAACTGAAGAACAGCTAACTCTTGGCGCTCACGCTGTACTCTGACTCATTTTCAGTAATGATCAATAAAGTTAACTGAAATGCTTGGTATTTTTCTCTATTATTGAAATAAATAAATAAAGACAACTTTTGGGGGGACGGCTCTTGCCTTCGCGGCTCGTTGGGGGCTGTCGCCGCCCCTTCCGCTTCCTGCGGAAACGCTGCCCGCGGTCC